GACTTCCTTCCGGACTTCCTGACTTCTTTCCTGACTTATTCCGGACTTCCTTCCTGACTTCTTTCCAAACGTCCTGACTTCCTTCCGGACCTATCCTTGACTTCCTTCCGGACTTCCTGACTTCCTTCTAGACTTCCTGACTTGCTTCCGGACCTATCCTTGACTTCCTTCTGGACTTCCTGACTTCCTTCCGGACGATACTTGACTTCCTTCCGGACTTCCTGACTTCCCTCCAGACCTATCCTTGACTTCCTTCCGGACTTCCTGACTTATTTCTGGACTTCCTGACTTGCTTCCGGACCTATCCTTGACTTCCTTCCGGACTTCCTGACTTCCTTCCAGACCTATTCTTGACTTCTGTCCAGACTTCCTGATTTCATTCCGGACTTCCTTCAGAACCTATCCTTGACTGCTTTCCGGAGTACCTTCCTGACTTCCTTCCCTCCTGACTTCTTTCCGGACCTATCCTTGACTTCCTTCCGGACTTCCTGACTTCCTTCCGGACCTATCCTTGACTTCCTTACGGACTTCCTGACTTCCTAGCGGACTTCCTGACTTCCTTACGGACATCCTTCAGGACCTATCCTTGACTTCCTTCTGGACTTCCTGACTTCCTTCCGGACTATCCTTGAATTCCTTCCGGACTTCCTGACTTCCTTACGGACATCCTTCAGGACCTATCCTTGACTTCCTTCCTGACTTCCTTGCAGACTTCCTGACTTGCTTCCGGACCTATCCTTAACTTCCTTCCGGACCTATCCTTGACTTCCTTCAAGACTTCCTGACTTCCTTCTGGACTATCCTTGACTTCCTTCCGGACTTCCTTCCTGACTTCTTTCTGAACGTCCTGACTTCCTTCCGGACCTATCCTTGACTTCCTTCTGGACTTCCTGACTTCCTTCAGGACCTATCCTTGACTTCCTTCCGGATTTCCTGACTTCCTTCCGGACCTATCCTTGACTTCCTTCCGAACCTATGCCTGACTTCCTTCCAGACCTATCCTTAACTTCCTTCCTTGACTTCCTGACTTCCTTCCGGACCTATCCTTGACTTCTTTCCGGACTATCCTTGACTTCCTTCCTGACTTCCTTCCGGACTTATCTTTTAATTCCTTCCAGACTTCCTGACTTCTTTCCGGACTTCCTGATTCCTTCCGGACCTATCCCTGACGTCCTTCCTGACTTCCTTCCGGACCTATCCTTGACTTCCTTCCAGACTTCCTGACTTCCTTCCGAACTTCCTGATTCCTTCCGGACCTATCCTTGACTTCCTTCCGAACCTATCCTTGACTTCCTTCCGGACTTCTTGACTTCCTTCCGGACTTCTTGACTTCCTTCCGGACTTCCCTCCTCCCTCCCTTACCTCCTTACCTCCTCCCCTCCTTCCAGATGTTGGCAGCTGCTGACAGAGCCCGGAAGCAGGCCGAGGCCCAAAGGGACGACCTGGCCGAGGAGCTGGCCTCCTGCTCTGGACGGTGGGTCCTTGTCCTGGTCCGGTCCTGGTCCTGGTCCTGGTCCTGGTCCTGGTCCTGGTCCTGGCCCAGGTCCGGTCCTTGTCCTGGTCCGGTCCTAGTCCTGGTACAGTCCTGGTCCTTGTTCTGGTCCTGGTCCTGGTCCGGTCATGGTCCTGGTCCGGTCCTGATCCGGTCTGGTCCTGGTCTGGTGTTGGTCCAGTCCTGGTCCGGTCCTTGTCCTGGTCCTGGTCTGGTGTTGGTCCAGTCCTGGTCCGGTCCTGGTCCTGGTCCGGTCCTTGTCCTCGTCCTGGTCCGGTCCTTGTCCAGTCCTGGTCCTGGTCCTGGTCCTGGCCCTGGTACAGTCCCGGTCCTGGTCCTGGTCCTGGTCTGGTGTTGGTCCAGTCCTGGTCCAGTCCTTGTCCTGGTCCTGGTCCGGTCCTGGTCCTGGTCCTGGCCCTGGCCCTGGTCATGGTCCTGGTCCTTGTCCTGGTCCTTGTCCGGTCCTGGCACTGTTCCTGATCCTGGTCCGGTCCTGGTCCTGGCCCTGGTCCTGGCCCTGGCCCTGGCCTTGGCCCTGGTCCTCGCCCTGGTCCTGGTCCTGGTCCTGGCCCTGGCCCTGGTCCTGGCCCTGGCCCTGGCCCTGGCCCTGGCCCTGGCCCTGGTCCTGGTCCTGGTCCTGGTCCTGGTCCTGGTTCAGGTTTTGGACTCCCCGTTCAGGTCCCTGGGGGCGGAGGAGCGTCGGCGGCTGGAGCTGAGGGCCGGGCGGCTGGAGGAGGAACTGGAGGAGGAGCAGGCGGCCATGGAGAACCTGAAGGAGCAGCTAAGGAGGAGCCAGCAGCAGGTGGGACCAGGACCAGGACCAGGACCAGGGCCAGGACCAGGACCAGGGCCAGGACCAGGACCAGGACCAGGGGGGGGACCAGGACCAGGGACAGGGACAGGACCAGGACCGGACAAGGACCAGGACAAGGACAAGGACCAGGACCGGGACCAGGACCAGGACCGGGACCAGGACCAGGACCAGGACCAGGACCAGGACCAGGGACACGACAAGGGTCAGGGGGGAACCAGGACCAGGGCCAGGACCTGGGGGAAACCCCAGAGACCAGAGGCTCCAGAGACTAGAGACCCCAGAGACCAGAGACCAGGGACCAGAGACCAGAGACCAGACCCAAGAGACCAGGGA